AACCGAACTGAAAGAGGCTCTGAAAGGGGAGAAAATAGGCAGACCAACTAGAGACCTCAGGAGCCAAGGAACGACATGGTGGCAAGTTCCTGAGTTTTTGTTTTGCCTCAGATATTCCAGTCTTGCAGCTAGAGAAGCCATCAACCCAAAAATGCCAAGGGCACAGACCAAATGATACTTAACCAAAGCCTGCCCTTTCCAGCCCAAGGACCAGGAGAGAGAAAACTAAATAAGCCATAAAAGTTTCAGACGTTGGCCTTTCTACACTAGTCAGACAACACAGAAGAAAAAAGTGGCCCACACCCACACCCACACCCACACCCACCAAGACTGAGTGGGCAACCTGTGTGTTTAGCTCCACCTGGGACTAATGAGGCCACATGGCCACCTGCCTGTCCCGTGGCCCACAGCAGTGTCAGAGAGGATCAGCTAAGACAGAAGCTTTAAATAAGATCCAGAGTCTCACAACGTAATACAAGATCATCTGGTTTCTGTAGAAAATCACATATCTCACCAAGAACCAGAGAGATCTGAAATTGAACGAAAAAAGACAATCAATAGATGCCAACTGAAAGAACAGAGATTTTATTTTTTTCTAAAATTTTTAAAAAAAAATTTTTTTAACGTTTATTTATTTTTTTTGGGGACAGAGAGAGACAGAGCATGAACGGGGGAGGGGCAGAGAGAGAGGGAGACACAGAATCGGAAACAGGCTCCAGGCTCTGAGCCATCCGCCCAGAGCCTGATGCGGGGCTGGAACTCACGGACCGCGAGATCGTGACCTGGCTGAAGTCGGCCGCTTAACCGACTGCGCCACCCAGGCGCCCCAAGAACAGAGATTTTAAAGCAGCCATGATAAAAGTGCTTCAAGGAACAAGTACAAACATGGCTGAAACTAATGAAAACTAGATTCTCAGCCTAGGAAGAGAAGATCTAATCTTCATTAGAATTTCCAAATGGAAATTGTAGAACTGAAAAGTTTAATACTGGGGTCAAAAAGCTCAGAGGATGGGTTCAGAGGCAGAATGGAGAAAAGAAAGAAGCAGTGAACTGGAAGACAGGGCACTGGAAATTACCCAGTCTGAACAACAGAGGGAACATAGACTGGAAAACAACTGAAGAGAGCCTCAGAGACCTATAGGACTATAACGAAAGATCTAATACTATATCATCTGAGTCCCAAAGGGAGAGGAGAAAAGATGGTGAGGAGGAAAAGGCTAAAATAAAAATACATATATTGACAACACTAGATGCTGACAAGGTCGCTGAGAACCTAGACCTCTCACATCAGGAATGTGAAATGGTATCGCCACTCTAGAACACTTTTGGGCAGCTTCTTAAACAACATGTAATTTCCTTATAGCCCAGCAATTGCCCTTCTGGGAATTTATCCCAGAGAAATGAGGACTCCTGTTCACACAAAAAGTTCTACAGGAGTGCCAAAAGCATTTTTATTTGTGATAGCCCCAAGCTGGTAATGACCCAGAAGTCCCTCAACAAACTGTGTGGTACGTCCACACCACAGAATGCTACACACACTGCCTGGAGATGCTGAATGAAAAGGTGAATCCTCAAAGGTCATATACTGTGTGACTTTATAGAACATTCTTGAAATGAGAAAATTTTATAAATGGAGAACTAATTAATGCTTGGCAGGGGTTATGAAGGGAATGGGGGTGGGAAGGAAGTAGATGTGGCTACAGAAGGGCAACACAAGGGATCTTTGTGGTGATCGAATGTTCTGCATCTAGACTGTATCAATGTCAATATCCTGGTTGTGATATCATCCTACAGTTTCGTAAGATTGGGGGAAACTGGGTAAAGGGTACACAGCATTTCTCTGGATAATTTGTTAACAACTGCATGCAGATCTACCTGTATCTCAAAATAAAAAGTTTAAAAAAAAAAAAGCCAGATACAGAACAGCACAGTCTCAATGTCTTAACTCATGGTTTCCCAACCTGCTGACCACACACCATGCTCTCATCTATGTCGGTAACCAAGGACGCAGAGCTTCCAATTCTCTACCACCATTTCTACTGAGGCTCTGCTGACAACTTCAGCAAAATCTGTCCTCAAGCCTTTCACACTGTCTATTTAAAATGTTGGAATATTGGAGCTGGAAAACACTGAAACCACAGCTGTGTACAAGGTGCGCTTTGGGCCCCCCCCCCCCCATAGCATCCATTAGATCCCCAGCTGCCGCCCTGCCCCCACCTTGAACAAATTACCATCCAAGTAAATACAGTGTATTTAGCATGGCCAGCTTGAAAGCCAGCCCCCAGCTCCCTGCCCCGATTGCTGCCTCGCATGGATATTGTAAAGCTGCATTTAGCTACCCTTCTCTGTCCCAGGCCTGGTTGGTGAACTGCTTGAGGCCAGAGGGCTGGCTGAGCTTGGCAGCACTTACAGCCCATAGCTTCTCAAAGGCTATTGTTTTATTTCTTAAGTTAGATCACAGGCTCTAAGCAGCCTGGGCCTCCTGCACACAGACAATGTGACATTGAGACACCAGCTTCTGGAGTACAGCAGTTCTTTTCCACATTGCAATGGGATAAAGTTATTTATGAAAGAAGAAAAGGTGAAAAGGCCAGCTGAAGTCAGTGTGAGCTGGGGACCTTGGTCACACTCCTTGGGGACACAGGTATGGTTGCACCCAGGCTACAGGTGAGGAGATTAAGGCTCACAGGACAAATGGAGGAGCTGCTGCAGGTGGTCTGGACCCTAAATCCAACACTGGTTCCTGCACCCCCACAATCTACATTGCTAGTTGTACTGGATACTGTTCAGACCTTCCCCTGGCCTGTGTAGATCCACCCGAGATTTCGTTTGGGGGCCGGTCTCCTAGAACGTAGGGACGGTTGCTGGGTATAGGGGTAGAGGGATAAGGCCTACACTAGTCTGCCTTTACCCTACCTCCTGGGGGTTTGTGCACCCCCAACCCACTTTCTATGTGGGTGTCTGATCATGTGCATCTCTGTGCGGGTGTGAATGTGTCTGTATATGAGTGTCTGCCCATATGTGCATGTCATGTGTGTATACTTGATGTCTACGTGTGTCTCTGCGTGTGTGTGTCTGTTTCTTTCTGTGTGTGTCTATGTGAGTTTGTGTCTCTGTGGATGTCATGTGTCTGCCTTTGTGTACCGAGTATCTGTATGTGTGTGGTATATTTTTTGTGTGTCTGTATGTGTCCATGCGTGTGTATCTGTGGGGAAGTCTGTGCATGCCTGCATGTGTGGCGTGTGTCCTTGTGCACATGTAGTGTCTACATGTATCCGCATGTGTCCCTGTGTCTGCACGTGTACTATCTGTGTGTGGGTCTGTGCACGCATGCGGTCCGTGTGCATTTGCAGATTGTGTGGTGTCCGTGTGTGTCCCTATGCGAGTCTGTGTGTGCGAGGTGTGTTGCGCGTGGGTGTGGCGAGCCCTCCCGCGCTGACACTCGGGAGAGCCCGGCTGGGTTCCAGGCCTCGTGACGGCCCCCGGGCGGCCACCCCGGGGCGCGGCCTCCCCCGAGGCTGGGAGGGGAGGAGCGCGTGGCCGGGTCCGCGGGCTGCGCCCCCGCTCCTCCCCGCGGGCCGGGCACACGTGGGCCCCGGGCGCCGCCTCCCCGCACCGCCCGCCGGTCCCGCGCGTCCCCA